GGGCGCCTCGCCGGGCCCCGCCGTAGCTGCCGAGCCGCGCCGGGCGGCGGGAGGAGGTGCGGGCAGACAGGTGTCCTCCTCCCGAACCGCTGCGCTCCCCGCCGCTGGCATCGCCGCCGCGCCGCACGGCGCTGGGCAGCGTCGCCCAGGCAGCCCCCGAGGTCGCCGCCGCCCGCCGCCGGGGGCAGCCCCGCCGCCCCGATGGCCCCCGCCGCCCCGCCGCCGCCCCTCCCTCGCCGCCGCCGGCCGCGCCGGCCCTAGGGGCGTCGGGGCCCTGCGCTGCCCCGCGGAGGGGAGGCGGAGGCGGCGGCGGCGGCGGCGGGGCGGGGGCGGAGGCGGAGGCGAGGGGGCGGCGGAGCGGCGGGGGAACGCCGGCGGAGCGGGAGCCGGCGGCGGCGATGGACGAGTCGTCGCTGCTGGATCTTCTGGAGTGCTCCGTGTGCCTGGAGCGTCTGGACACCACGGCCAAGGTGCTGCCGTGCCAGCACACCTTCTGCCGCCGCTGCCTGGAGAGCATCGTCAGCTCCCGCCACGAGCTGCGCTGCCCCGAGTGCCGCATCCTGGTGGGCTGCGGCGTGGACGAGCTGCCCGCCAACATCCTCCTCGTCCGCCTCCTGGACGGTATCCGGCAGAGGCCCCGCGCCGCCGGGGGCGCCAGCGGCAGCCCCAGCGCCGCGGCCCCCACGTACCCCCAGCCCGCCGCCGCCCCCAGCGCCGTCGCCGCCGCCGCCGCCTCGGCCGCCGCCAGCCTGCGGGAGCTGGCGGCCGCCAGCCGCAGCGCCCTGCTGGGAAAGGTGGGTGCCGGGCCGGGGCCGGGGGCGGGCGGGCCGGGAGCGCTTCCCCGCGGAGCGCCGGGCGGCCCCGGTTTGCCGGCGGGACGTCCCGCGGGCGGCGGAGGGTGTCTGCCCGCGGGCACCGGCGTGCGCCTGCCCCGCACTTGTGGCCGGCTGTCGTGGTCGCCCCCCCGGTCTAACGATGGGAGGCTCGGACCGGGATGTCCTCAAAGTACTCTAGGCGGCCTCGGGAGCGGCCGGGACCGCCCAGGGACACCCCCCTTTGGGTGGGTTTATACCGGCTGTGGGGCAGCTACTGCAGCGACGGGCCCCGGGGCCGCCCCCGGTGTAGCACAGCCGGTGTTATAAACTACGGAGTGCCTCGAAAGCGCTTCTGTCCCAAGTGTCGGGCTGCGCCAGGTGCCTGTCAGGTGCGGGCAGGAGCCGGCTCCCACCCTGGCGCTGCCTGCGGGGGAAGTCTCTGGGAACGCTCGGCCGGTCCCGAGCCCTGCGTGTTCCTCCAAGCCCGCAATTTTCCCCTCCGCTCTCCGGGCGCTGCCGGTGCGGTTACAAGCACACAGAGCCCTCCTGACAGCCGGAACGGAGCGGGGTTTGAAGCTGAAGCTTCCCCTCTCAAGGGAACGTAATTTCGTTTTTATGTATAAGGTGTGTGATTTATAGAAGGCGAGAGCTGCAACGTGTGCATTTATTTATTGAACTCTTCAATCGAGTGCCCCATCTTGCGCCCTTTAAAGTCCATGACTTTAAAGGTGCAAGATAAAGTCCAAGGGTTTCATTGGCTCGGAGGGGATGAGTTCCACTGTTCTGTACTGCTCTTCCATGCGATCTGATAAAATTCACTCTTGGACCTCTTCAGGAGACTTGGGAATGGAGACAGTCTTAAAACTGTGAACTTAATCTCACTTTTAATGTCATATATATACTGGATACGTTTAATTGTCTTTGGTCTTTCAGGAAATCCACTTGAGCTGTAGTTTAGTGTACAGGCTTTTGATTTGAAAAGGTCAGTATAGAGTTTCCTTGTGAAGTTGTATTGTTATAATTTCAATTAATTAATTTCCTACTTTTTTTTTTTTTTTTTTTCTGTTCTTTTAAAAAGGAATAGACATGTACTGGTGTTTTGAAGTTTTCCCTACAGGAAATGATGGCAAATGCCATACATTGTTCCATAAAATTCAGTCCTGGAGTTGGAATTGAAATATGCTAGGTAGTATTTCTGGAAGGGTAGATCCTTTATTATTGGGCTGTAGTCTTGATGAGCTTCAGGTATTTAATAATGACTTATCCAATTTAAGAAGAAAGGCAGTGGAATTCTGCCTTCTGGGGTTTTTTTTGCTTGTTTTTCAACTAAGCTTAGTGCTCTAGCTTTGTCACAGCAGACAACTCCTGTCTTCTTAGCTTCAGCATTATAGAAAGGGAAGTTTGCATTCATTAGGTAAAGTACAGTATCCCATGGTCTGGTTTGAAGTCCAGGCAGGTGTCTCTTGTGGGAGGCAGGGTCTGCTGGTTATACCTGCAGTGTTTGTGTTGGAGGGGCAGGGTCTTGCACCCTCTCTAGGCTTTTGTGACCATCCAACAAGAAGACAGTCTCTGGTTATGAAATCTTTTAAGTCCTAGTCAAGCTTGCATATTACAGTTGTGTGCACATGTAAGAAAATGCTTGATGGGGAAAGCTATTTGCAAAATCTTAGGGAAAATTAATTTTCATTATTTTACTGTAAATTGTCAGGCTTTTAAAAAGTTGCTTCCCTACCCATTATTGCAGATATCATATAGCTAATAAAAACACATTGCATTTTATCATTTTCTGTCTTTGATTGCATAGCAGTTTGGTGAGTGTTGGCAGTTCTGTTGTCCATTTCTGTGAGGTTTGTTACCCATCTGAATTTGTACCCATCTGAATTTGACAGAAAAGCAAAATTACACAACTTGAGAATCACATTTTGGCTATTATTTGGCTATTTGGTTAACAGCTGTGGTCCTTTTCCCTTTGCTGGGGTTAATGGGTAATTCGGGGGCAGTGGATCTGCTGGGACAGAGTGGGTCTGTGAAAGTGTTTGCTTGGCCTTTTGACTGATGACACAATTTTATCCTGGAAATCAATGCAATGTGCTTGATCCTTACAAGGTTCATTACAGTGAAAGAAAGTCTGAACTAATCTGCTTTTAAAAAAAGCAGCAGGGGAGAATAATCCTCATTGGAGCTGCTGATACAGCTGATTGCTGAGCAGTCCTGAAGACAAGAGTGCAGAACCTCTCTCTGTACTAAACAATAGATGGTACAATCGAGGCTAGAATCAAGCTTCTATTACATCCCTTTCTCTCTTATGTTGGTCTTTCACAGCTCAGCTACCTTGAAGAAAGCAGAAGTGATTCTTTGTGATACATATATATTTCAGAAATTGCTGTAGATTTGCTGCCTGGGGCTTAAATGCAAATTACACCATTTTACTAATTATTACCTTTCATTTTAGATAATGCAGTACATAAAATAGGACATATCATTGTTGAATTTTTGGTTAGGAAGGAAACTGCTGATTGTGAAGTGTAGTGGCAGAGAGCCAAGGTCACTTCTATCAGACTTCAATCTTGCCCAGATCCTTGGACTGATACATTAGAATCATACCAGGGATCTGTTTCTTTGAGAGTTTTAATTAACCTTGGAAGACAGAGCAGGGTCAGCCTCTGTGTTGCTGTCATGCCTGTATTTTTCTTCTGCACCTTATACTTTGGAGAAGTCTTCTTTGTGTAGATGCTGTTTTCTGAGATCAACACGTTGTTTATCACTTGGGCTAAACTTTGTGGGATTTGTATTTCTTTATCGGGTCTCTGGCCTTTCTTTTCCCATAGTTTGTCACAAACTGCTGAAAGCTATTGTAAGAGGGACTGAGCTGGGGGTGAACCAGTACTAGTGTTGTTTCTAAAGTTGTCCAAGACCATTCTTCAGAAACACTTCTGAAATACTGTAGGTGCTTTGACATACGTGGTACACATCTTCAGTATGAGAGATCTAGAAGGGTCACGTGCCTACTAATATATTTAGCATATATACAATATTTGGGATTCTGTCAGTAATTAATGGTGTCACCAGTGCCTCTGTTTCAGCCTGTAAAAAACCAACAGTCTTGTTCTAAATGATATTGCATATTTTAAGATGTTCACATTACAGCTGTGTAAATGCAGTGCACGGTATTAGACGTTATAAAAGGGTCCAACTGCTGAAAGAGCAAACTGGAAGAATGAAGGAAAGGAAATCCAACAACTGTGCAGCCCCCCCAGGGAATATACAGGAGGCTAAGAGTGGTTTATAATGGTAGGCGCATTACTCACAAGGTTATAATTTATTGGCTCCTCTGTTTCCATTACCACTGTCAAATTGCTTGGGGAATTCAGGTTCTGTCAAAGTAAATGGCTCCCTTAGATTGTTGAGGCATTATGGTAAATCTGCCTTTACTGAGTGTGGGGTTTGGGGTTTTTTTTTAACAATTACTGCAGTTTATCACTTTATTTTTTTTTTTTCCAGGCATTCCTAAGATCTAATAGCCAGCTAAGTGCATGCAAGTATTTAGTAATTTCCTCCCAAACCAGGCGTCTTCCACTCCAGGTGCAAGGCTTATTGCTTGTTTGCTCATAATACAAACTGAGAACAACATTTGCATGAAAAAGAAACAACCTAGTAAAACAAAACATGTCTCTCCTTTTTCCCAGAAGAGAGAACATGGCCGAAGTGATGGATAAGGGATGTGGTGTGTTACCAGATGGGGTTGTGGGTACCAGTGGAGAGTAAGATGTGCATGTAAGGAAAATGATGTGTCAGCGTGCCTGAGCAAAGTGACGGATGGGCTGCAGTCCCGTGTTGCACGGGATGGATCTCGTGTATCAGCTTTGCAGAGCTATTTCATTGTTTTGGAAGGGAGGCTGCCATTTGCTAGCCCTTGGCTTCACACAAGTTTTGCAAGCAGAGGGAACAGCATTAATTTGATAAATAAGCTTTTCAGCTACTGTGTAGAAATTCTTCAGAAGAGACATTCTGTAACTTCTGTAAGTGTTCTGCCTCATCCTAGAGTGGGCACAGTGGATTAAAGGAGTAGACCTCAGTATTTCTCTGCTCAGGTGTTTCTTTCCTTTTTGGTTACATTGTCTATCAGGTGAAGATCCCACTCAGGGTTACACAAGAGAAAGCAGGTGTAATCTGGCATTTATATGCATTTATATATATTACAGCAGGAGAGGATTGTGTAGGGGACATGCTTTGTCTTGGGCTGAGGGTAGTCTTCAGCTTGCCTTTTTAATGGTCAGACTTGCACATACTGGAGTGCTGTTCAGCAGTGTGCCATGTACATAAATCCAGGGACTTACCTTACTTTTGTTCATTCTCTTAGATTTATTTCCTTCTGATGCTGTACTTTCACTGATCAGCACTTGAACTTTGTCATAAAGCCATCCAAAAAGGAGTGATATTCCACGTGTCAAAGGTTCTAATCTTGAGGATTTTCTTTTTGTCTGGCAGATGGCTAAAAATGTGTTTTGACACAGGAGATTAACTACCATACTAAAGGGTATTGTGAAAAATATAGCCAGAAGTATTTAAAACCCCAGCAGCTGAAGCTGTCTTCACAGAAATGAGTGAGCATAGGAGAGGGGATTGCTGAGGGGCTGTGTCAGAAAAATTCATCATTCACTGAGCACTTACACTTTCCAGAAAATATGACATTTGCAGGTGTCATCTTCATGTCCATTATGTTTTCCAGAAACAGTATGTTTACTCAAGATTTTTTTCTGTGTGATGATATTATCTTACTTGCAAGCTAGAAAAATGTCTGATGGACCTGGTGTGACCAAAGGGTGCCAGTGCTGACAGTGGACTTTTTCTTCTGAATTGGGGTGGCCAGCAGTGGCTCAGTTGCACCTAAAATTTGTGGGACAGCTTTGTTCCATTAGCCCCAAACCCTCCCAATTAGTTTGTGTTAGTGTGACATGCCTCTGTAGGACTCCTCTTGATGTTAAATGCGAATGCTAAGTTTAATTCCTGCACGTCATCCTTCTGAATGATTCATGAGGAATGCTAGTAACGTTTAGCATATGACAGGGTTCCATGTTTGGTAGCCGGTTACTCAAAGGCAGATGGATAGGCTTGCTCAACTCAGCCCTAAAAATCTTGTGCATGTTTCAATCTTGGCAATTTTTGCCCATCTGCCCTGAAGCTCTGCTGTGGTTTCAAAGCACATACAGACCGTGGTCATTGATGTCTAGTGAGCCGCATGACCTTTCTGGGCTTCACATTTCTCAGCTGAAAACCAGCCCAGCCTCATGTGCTTCTCAGTCTTTGAAAGGAAGCTGCCCTACAAACACAGAGTTACTGCTAGAGAAGCTGGGTTTTGTGAAAATTGAGAAGTGCTGGCTGTACACACTGAAGCTATGATGGTTGTTTTCTGTTGTTGTGTGGAGTTTGGCAGAGATGCTGCACTTTGTTTGCGGGGAGCGTCGGCACAGGGATGAAGCGATGTATGCTGTGCATGGACTGTAGTAGTACACTGTATTCCTTGTTTCTAATCTTATCAGTTCGTGTTCAGGCAGACTCCTGGTTCTGGCTGGGTGCCCAACAGGTCAGACAGGCTGCAGGCACTGGCTGGTAATGCTGGGTGCCTGTACTTGCAGGTCAGGGGGAGGCTACGCATGCTCTTTCTAGATGAAACTGTGTCCATACGATCAATAAGCTGCCACCTAAAGTGCTACAACAATGTTTATGTCATGGAGGATTTCTTTCTCTGAGAAGATACTTTTTTATACTGTAGAGTAATTTCAGTTTAATAATCCCATTATGATTTCAACTTGAAAAGGCTGGGTAGTTCTAGAGTTTTGCACTGTTGTTTTTATACTGTCCCCTCTAATTTCACTATTCTGTTCAATATTTCATGCTGTTTCTCTTAGGAAACACTGCTTAAATTTCAGATAAAAACGATAGTTTATTCTCGCATTTCATTGACCCACCTGAAATATCTTCAGTTGTGAGATGATATTTGTTTTCAAAGTTGTAGAACATTCTTTCTTAGAAGCCTATCCTTAAGCTTCAGAAGCCATTATAACTAATACTTCACTCTAATTAATGTCTTTAAGCATTGCAACCTTGTAATTGATGACCTCTAGAGTGCTGGATTCATTCAGTGTTCACGGACTTTGTGACTTCTACAGGCCAAAACTGCTGGGGGTGCGCACAGTTTCACCTTTCCTGCGTTCACTCATCACATATCAAGCTAAATTTTTGCAAGCATGTTCAATGCAGTCCTGTTAAAATGTGGTATTTTACAACAGGTTTTCCCAATCTGCCATGAGCTGTCATGGGAAGAACCCAAGATTAGTTCTGATAGGACATGAGAGCCTGGACAAAGATAAACTACAGAAATTGAGAAAGTTGCATGACCTTGGTGTTGCCCGTCTCCCACAGCAGCTGTGCTTCTGCAGCTGGGAAGGGAGCGATGGAGAAATACAGTGCCAGCTTAAAAGTTACCTATTTATCCCTAGTCTTGCAACAAACCAAACTGATCCAAATGACCAAAGC